ATCCGCCATAGGCCAACCAAGTATTCCATCACTCCGAGGTCGGCGAACGAGTACCAGACTCGTCTGGGAGGATAAAAGCACTGATTTGTACATCGGCTGGCCACCACAAGTCATTGTATAGGCCACATAGGCACTTATTACGCCACTATCGTTCTGAGTGGAAGTCGAGTGAGGGGGCGCATCCCTCAGGCGGGATTGATGAACGCCAAGAAATTTACCCCTTATCCTTTTATCGTTGAATTATTTCTGAGATTTCTTTTTTCTGAAAACGTATCGTAGACGAATGCGTCATGTCGTAAATCCGAAAATACCACCCGTACGGAGCTCATGATTGAGCACTTCCCTTATCATTACCATTAATCATGGCCGAGAACTCGTTAAGAACGTAACGCCAAAATGTCAAGTCAAGAAATTTCGTGAAATGACACATGCGTTCAATGTGTAAAGCTGAAGAAGAAGTGTGTTTGCTGAAGAAAGCTGACGAACCCCGCAGTGTTTTACTATTCGTCATCACCAGACGGGCGTAAAGTGTAAAGCAGTAAACGGAGAAGTAATTGAGAAAGGTCTGGCAAGTTCAAATTATATGCAAGGAGTTATTCTTGAAACCTTGTCAAAGAATCAGGTTTATCGATGCTAGGATTTTGTTTGTTTTTTGGAATGTGAAAACTCCTCTTTGAATTTGAATTGATTCTAATTTTTTTCATATATTTCAACATATACGATATGCAGAGCCCCCAAGTCTTGGTAATTGTCTTAATGAACAAGAAAGAACCGATGGGGAAGAAAGTATTGGCCGGCACATAGATGGAGCTCAAAACCGGTCGTAAAGGGTAAGGTAATGTCTGCGGTACAACGGTAGATGAGTGCTTAGGTAAGGCAGAGGGAGGACCGAGGTTTTTTAGGACAAATTTCATGTCGGTGGGAAGGCTTAGAAGTTATTTTTGGGTGTTTGGAAACGAAAACCGCAAGATCAGCTATCTTTTTTATGCCTTTTCGTGCTGGGTTGTAAAGAATTGAAGATAGCCCGAATATGGGGCAAGTGTTGAAATGGGATGGGACATCAGCCGTTTTCTTTCGGTACTCGGACCATATTGAAATGGTGACAGCTTATGGGCATTGCGATGAAGATCACCCATACATAAGCATCACCAAAAGCAGTTTCCTGAAACCGAGTCAAAAACATAGTCTATCTCTTTGATGAATTTTGCTGGACGTCAAAATTCGAAGCGTGGTTGTAGGAAATGAGTGGAACAAGGTGATAGCGGTTCCCGATTTGCATCCTACCTCTTATTTGTTTTTATTTGTTTATTTATGCGCCTAATGACTCAACAACAGTGAATCAATAACGCAAATACAACAATGTTACCCAGTTGAGACGGTAGTCCCAAAATAGCGCTTTTTATTGAAAAAAATCTGTTTTGTATTTACATTATGTAGATGAAGGGATTCCCGTTGAGGTAACCGAAGTGGTGATCCTAAAAACGAGAGGAAAGCTCCAAGTCCGGCTGTAATGTTGCAACTTCACAGCCGAACTTACAACCACCCATAGCGGGCCCTTATTCATGCCTAGTTGCCCCGGTGTTCATAATGTCTCAACAGGTTGTCGCTCTACTAGGAGTACAGCTCGAGGTCTCAACTGTAACCCTTCTGTAAACTACTAAGGCTACATAGACCTTGGAAAGTAATATTTTTTCCAAACTTCTCTCTTACCCTTTTCAGCTGATATTTTCTCAAGTCTCACTCGATGCTGGTGCAAACTATTCATGTATGGTGTTCGATAACACCCTGGCTGAGCTGCTATCGGATGTTTATGAGAGAAACCACATGATGCCGAGTGTGGATGTACTGGTACGTTTCTGTTTGTAAACACTGTTTCATCGTTCCTTGAGCTGACTCCCCTAGTGGATTTCTTACAGTTCTCCTTTGCCTACCGTAGCTGTATGAACCCGGAAGGAAGAGATGTCTTGTCTCGAGAACAGTCACGTCGTTCGCAACGGCTTTTGCGAACTCTAGCAGCACAGTTGTTTGACGTCCATTTTTAGGCGACTTGTTTACATTCTTGTTGATTTCAGGCTGACCGCCTTTGATCTCAGTATATTTACATAAATTGTTACCGGTAATAAGAGTATTACAATTTGTTTTTGTTATTTTTTCATGGTATTGTAATAATTTCTACCAATATCTAATCAATAAATTAATAATTTTTCTCGAACGCTTCCCTCGAAGGGAAAGTTTTTCAACAGTTTCGTTTGTAAAGGCTGTTGTAGACCCTAAACTCATCGCTATCTCCACAAAGAAGGTGAACATTGTGAGATTCATTAAAGTTATCGTATAGTTAATGATAGGACATAGAAAAGGGTAAGTCTTTGATGCTAATCAACTCTTTCTGGGATGCGCCCTGCACTCGCCTTCTACTCAGAATCGTGTTGGCGTATTGAATGCGTATAAGGCCTATACAATGACTTGCGGTGGCCAGCCGATGTACAATTCAGTGCTTTTATCCTCTAATTGGTAAGACGTGTCTGCTATCACTTGGCCGATCCCGGAAGGATGGGAGG